ATCGATTTTGCTTATTAGCAAAATCATAATGCTATGTTTTGATAAATCAAAGTAAAAGGAATTGTAATTTTAATAGGATACCTACCAAGTGTTTGTGAATGTTTTGCATATAAGCCTTGTACTAATCATCAACTTTCTCATTACTTGTTCTCCCTAAATTAAAAAAATACGAAAGATAAATGTGTTCATGAAAGTAGACAAAATGAAAGAAAATTATGGTGTTATGGAAGGGGGGAAAGTTATGTGATGAAACTTGCCTCTGTTAGTGCCTCTTTTAGTTGAGGACACAAGAATTCATCACAAAAAAATTACATTATTTTTGTGATGAATTCTTATCTCAAATAATGGGCCTACGCCGTCAAATAATGAGACTGTAAAAGTCATAACATATATCACTCATAATATATATTACTTTTTTATTTTATCGAAAAGACAAAAACAGGGACATATTGATTAGCCATAGAGTCTAAACAAAGGCATACAAGGAATACCTTCACAATTTGAGGGATACCCGTTCAAGTTTCTTGCTCTTTCACTATTGTCAATGTTCTCTTCGTCTATATCTAGTTGAAGATGACTATACGCAAAAAAAAAAAAAAAACAAATTTGAAATTATAGAATTGTTATATGCATAATCTCTATGAAGAAATTTTCAAAATAGCCCCAAACCAATCTTTTTAAAAAAAATCGACCCATTTTGGTTTTTATTACATAAATCGACCCACTTTCTAGCCACGTCAGCACCCTGGCCAGAAAGTGGGTCGATTTTTTTTAAATGCGTTTCTAATTAGAACCTTGTTTTTTATTTCTCCTCATTCGACACTAGATTGAACTTTTGATTATTATTAGAGTTTGAAGACAAAAATATAGAATCAAGACTAATGATTGAACATTAAAACTTGCTTTGTTGCTCATGCAATGAATTATTTGGGGAACTAATTTCTCGTTAATCCCTCTTACAGTCACTTGAGCCTTGTGAGACAAAGAATGCCGTTAACATAGTGGACTGCAGAAAAAGAACTGATGAGCGGGCCCTTGAGAAATAGGAAGAAGATTACTTCAACGAGGACAAGTTTGTCCTGGGGTTCCAACTTCTCTTATGTAAATAATATCCCTTAATATAGGTGCTCATATGTTTTTTTTGGCCAGCAATGAAGAAACCTCTGCTTCTGCTCATACTCAGAACCATGGTGCATCCCCAAATTTGCCTAATGGAACTAAAGTTGCACACCCAAATTTGGCAAGCGATGAAGAATTTGCAAATGTTGTCTGGATAAAAAGCTAAATATCCATATTTGATAAAACAAATCCGAGGTAGGATCAAATTCAGATACTAATCGGAAGATATTATTTATGATGATGATATTTTGAAGGTAAAATGGGGTCAATCTTCATGTTGAAGTGTGATACAATCAGAAAGCTCTTAGTGCAATGCAAGCTAAATAATGGATACCTAATTTATATGTAGCAATACATACATTTATACGGGTATGCATTGGCATATTTGGGTATCGGTTGCAACATATCACATAGTTTAGCGCTATCTATACCTGTACACATGCTTTCAGCAGAGAGGATGTAAATCCATATTTGTCAAGATATGAGTATGAAGTTGAAGTTGGATCAGATTATTTGTTCCCATTGCATGAGTGGTTGGATAATAGTTAAAACTTGAACTATCAGGTGTTTGTTCACTGGAGGATGTACTCATCGTTGAAGTTCCATGTAGAGGTTGCTCCAACTTTTAACATTTGAATGTTCTCTATATAAATCAGTAAACCAGTTTGACCATTAGTTATGTCTTCCACCAAATTCCTTTTATTAGGCTTTTATTTTTTCAGTTTTCTATTTCTCCCGAACTTATTACCCTTATCATGCAGCCATGATAGGACCACCGTCCTCCATTAAGATGCAGTGCTCCTCGGAAGTTGAAAAGCATGTGGAAAATGGAAGAAGATTGAAAAAGCAAATGTGGAGAACTTGATAAAAAGAATGCATGTTAGTGATGATTTGTTTTGCTAAAGGCATTATATTGGTTGCTTTGATTTGTTATATTTAGTTTGACATGAAATTATGCCTGTGCAGAATAAGTTTGAATTTGACATGTCGCTCTCTTGGGTCCAGGGATATGTAATTACAACATGTCAGACCGTATATTGTAATTTTCGCTATTAGTTGAAAAAACATTTTGAGCAGTTTTCAACAATTGAGGAGGCAATTGAAAACAAACATGAAGCTGTCAAGACTCAGGAAGAATGAGAGTTTCTTTGCACTCATTTTTCTAGTGAAAAGTTTAAGGTACAATATCTTTTTTTTTTCTCCACGCATTTCATTTTTTCTTTTTTCATTTACTTCTTTCTAACTGTATGTCTTAATAATTTTAGATTCACTCAGAGAAGAATGTTCTTTAGGTCAAAGTTGATATATCACCACAAAGCTGGGTCAAAATCATTTATGTCACACAAAGAGCAAATTATAAGGCACTTTTTAGTTTTGCTTATAAATTTGTAACTTAATTGTGTACATATATATATGCTGAAAAATAAAATATGTCTGAATGCAATAGGCAACACAGGCTGGACAGATGCAAGGTGCAATTGATCATTTTGAAACATAGTATAGAAGCACAAAAAAAGGATGAGACTTGGGAGCAAAGGAAAAATGGGTAAGTAACGTGTCAATGATGCATGCTTTTATAATATTTTAAGAATATATGTGAAACTGATATTACTGTTCTAAAGAGGATTATATTGATTATGTTGTAATTGAGAAGTTGCATTATGATTGATATGGATATATTTTTTTACTTATAGGATCAAACGATAAAGATGCGAGCAGATACTACTCAACCTGATGGAACTCGAACAATGACGGATGAGAAAATTTGTACAAAAGTTCTCAAAGTCAAATCAGGCTACATTAAGGGCTGTGGTTTTGGCCCTAGACCATCACCATTAAGGTTTTCTCGTTTTTCGATGAGTGGAATGTCTGAAAAGAATAAAGAGTTGCAAGAACAACTTTAAGAGACCCAACAATTTGTAGGAACTCAACAACAAAAGATCGATGCGCAAAATGAGGTAATCCAAAGATTGGAGGAGCAAGCCAAAAAGTTTTGAGTTTATGACTAATTTTTTCAGGCAACATCCATCAACTTAGTATTCTTAGTGAACTTAAATTTGGAGATGTTTCTTTGATCGTGTTGCATTTGTTATTGCTTTAAACTAGCATTGTTACTTATGGTAGAAACTTGCTTGTTTTATTTATTTTAATTGTTTTGATGTAATATGGTGACAATTGATGACAATTATTTATATTTTGAGCGTTTTTCTTGTAATAACATTATTATTGATGAAATAAAATTTCCTCATTATAAGTATACTGCTTACGTCGTTAAAAGAATATTTTCTCATTATAGAGTATACTGCTTACATCGACAAAAATATATTTCCTCGCTATAGTGATACAATACTATAACGGCAAAAGTAATTTTCCTCGCTATAGACCATATAACTTATATCGACAAATGTAAATTTCCTCGTAATTGAATTTCTTTGGCGAGGAATATGGGGTATAACCTACAACGACAAATTTAAATTTCCTTGTCTTTGAGTCCCTTTACTGAGGAATTGTTTCCACGAGAAAAAGATACATATAATGAAGAAAATTAATTTCCTCGTTAAAGATTTACCTTTGGCGAGGAATAGTTTCCTCGCTGAAAGATACAACGATGAAAATAGTTTTTTTTTAACTTTTATTATATATAAATTAAATATAATTCATGTATCATTGGCGAGGAAACTATAATTTAGCGATGAAAAAGGTATGAGATTAGGTGAGAAAAAATATCGAGGCTAAAGAGTAACAACGAGAAAAGAATATATTCATCGCAAAAAGGATTTCGCGAGAAATTATAATATTCATCGCAGAAACTTTTCTTGACCATCCTACCGCGAGGAAATGGTGACCAAAGTTTTTTCCTCGCCAACACACTACGGCGAGGAAATCTCGACTTTCAACGACAAACTTGTTTCTCACGGATTAGCTTTTCTGTTGTAGTGAAATCTGTGTGTTCGTCTCCTTTACTATTTTGCAAGATCAGATCTTTATTTGTGGTGATTTTTCCTACTTTCCTACTTTCAACACAAGGTTTGGAAGGGCAATGGTTCGATTGATTGTTTCGAATCCCCAACATCTAGGGTTGTTTGGTTCACATAAAACCATGGGAATATAATTTCCATGCACTGACACCTTAAGTTGGAAATTTTAAGTTTTATATAGTTTTCCTTTGCAGGTGTGGGTCGAAAAACTCAACGTGCAAAAGAGGAGCTAAATACAGTGGCACATCAGAAAACATGAAAAACTAACATCCCAGCTAAAAACTCCGAAGTTGGGTGGAAATTTCACCAAAGTGAATTAAATATTAGATTAAGTGGACTAAATAATGTTGAAGTTGTACTTGGTTAGTTGGGAATGCATTACACATGGAGACGTGAATTCATTTCTTGGTGTTTTCTTTTGAACCAAACAATTAATGGAAATATATTTCCACACAATATTCTCTACTTTTTCCATGCGAAACAAACAAGATTAGAAATAAATATCTACACCGTACATTTCCATTATTCTCATTTCTGAGCTTTTGAAGCGAACAGGCCCTAAGTTTCAAATCCTCAGTAATTCCGCATGCATTAAAAAGTAACATATCTGAGGCAAGTTCCAGGAAAGCAAAGCGTTTCCTTCTTTTCCCAACACGAAAGTAAAAGCAACAACTTAAAACAGTAACAATACTCCCAAAATTCAGGGTGAAAGGTAAAAATACAACTTCTCTCACATTCAATAATTGTTACTTGTATTTCTACCCCCTGTATGTCTGTATACAAACATATAATAATGAATTGTAAATAGTGAAAAACTTTATGCACACTCCCCCACTACTTTTAATAGTAAATTTTCTAATAATAAAGTGGACGCAAGGGAAAAAACAAGCACCAAGTGTCAGGCTTGGTGAGAAATATATACCAGTAGAGTGAAGACGAGTGATGAAGAGGGAGAGGGGGAGAGAGAGAGAGAGAGAGAGGTTGAAGCAAAAACTGTAGAAGAAACTTCCATAGCTTATTCTTCTTCATCCTCTTCTTGTTCTTCTCTTTTAGCTGAAAATGACTAAAGATAATGATGAGTTCAAGCTCCTCAAGGTTCAGGTAGCTCTTTCTCTTTCATCTCTCTCTCTCTCTCTCTCAAGTTTTCAAGGGGAAGATAAATACTGATTTGTTTTGTTTATTGATGCAGACTGTCACGCTCAGGGTTAACATACACTGTGATGGGTGTAAGCTTAAAGTCAAGAAACTCCTCCAAAAAATTGAAGGTAAATAAACAAATTTCCTTCGTTATCTAAAAATAAGAAGCCATAACTTGTCCTCTCGCTCTCTCTCTCTCTCTCACTGTTCAAGCATTTTACCTTTTTGGTGCCTATCAGCCTAGTTAATGTTAGATAAATTTAAAAAATATATACTTATAACTCTTGGATCCAATTTATAGTCATAATCATCCATTAAAATCATTAATTCTTTTACATTTAATAATTAATTTATTTAGAGAGCACGTATGATTTTCCTAGCCTTTAACCACAATTTTTAGCATGTAAAGTAATTCCATAGAAATTGAAACAGATGGGTCAAAGCACTCCCTTTGAAACTTTTTGAGGCATAACATGTGATTTCTGCGAACTTTTGAAAAGATTCTGTAATTTATCCTGAGCATTTTGGTTCAAAATTGTTACAAAAATTTTGGGCAGCCATGGGAACCCTTTTTCCCTCTGTTTTCAACTTATTATGTATAAAACAAACTGAAAAATATTGTAAATTTTCATTACAGGAGTTTACTCAGTGAGCATAGATTTAGAGAACCAGAAAGTGACAGTCTCTGGCACTGTGGACTCCTCCACCCTCATCAAGAAGCTAACAAAATCAGGCAAGCATGCGGTGCTCCTCTCCTCTCAGAAATCCAACAACCCGGCCCAACAGAAGCCCAACCAGGCCCAGAATCAACAGAAAGCTCCTCACCCCAATGCACTCAAAAACACCAACAATAACAGTAACAAGAACACAACCAACAACAAAAACAACAATAACAAAGGCCAGCAACAGGGCAAGCAAGGGAGCCTATCAGGCCTCAGTGCATTCAAAGCCCAGCCCAATAATCTCCCCTCCTTCAGCTCAGACGAAGAGGATTTGTTGGACGAGGATGATTACGACGATGAAGATGATGATGATGAAGAGATGAGATTGATTAATGAGAAGATGAAGCAGATCAATATGATGAGGCAAGCCAACAATGCAGCTGCACAAGCAGTAGCCAATGCTAAGAAGAATGCTAGCAACATTGCAGGCCAGAAGAAAGTCGGCCCGGGCCCAAATCAGCCCAAGGCCCATAGTGGGATTCATGGGATGATGGGTCCTGGCATGAATGGCATGCCACCGCTAAATGGAGGGCATCAAGCCATGATGGGCTTGGGGGCTCATCATCATCCGCCACCATCCATGATGATGAACATGAGAGGTGGGCCCACGAACAACATGAACAATAACCATAACACGATGATGATGGTGAATGATCAGAGGTATATGCAGGCTATGCAGCCTCAGATGATGTACCATAGATCTCCTCCGATATCTCCCTACAGTGTTTATTATAATAATCAGTATTATAATCAAGCTCCTTACTATAGTAATCAACCATCAGAGAGTAGCAGTGACATCTCTCATATTTTCAGTGATGAGAATGCCAATAGTTGTGGTATCATGTAAGAAAATGTGAGGAGGTTGTATTTGGTAGGCTAAGATTGTGTTCTTTTTTAATTTGTTAATTATTATGTTTTGTAATGAACAAGTGCAAGTTTTCTTGTTGATGGGGTTTTTGAAGTTTGTTTAATTGATGTTCTTTAATTCACTTACTTGGTTCAAGAATAAAGAAGGTTGCTGGATGTTGCTTACTTGTTACTTGGTGGTAAGATCCAACCGGTGGTAAGATTCAACAACAAAACTTATGCAGTAGTAAGATTCAACAGCAGAACTCGTAAGTAATGATACAATGTGAACTTCGGTTCACAAACTCCGGTGATATGACTGGATGTATCCTCCTACTCATTTTGAGCGTTAAGGAGTCTGAGGTTGGTGCTGATCAAGACCATGCACTTTACTGCTATGAGATCAAGTAAATGATGATAGGTGGCGACCCTTGCTTTGCGGAGTTGGATGCTCTTGTAATCGAAGGAGTTGGATGCTCTTGTAATCGAAGGACATGAACAAGATAGGAGAACAAATCAATAACCAAACACAAACACCACACAGCAAGACACCAAGTTTTACGTGGTTCGACAGTGTGACTACGTCTACGGGGCAAGAAGGGAGAAGATTTCACTAAGAGAGAGAGAGAGAGAGAGAGAGAGAGTACAAATAGGGTTAATAATTACTCAATAATGGGTTAATAATTACTCAATAATCTCACAAAATAACCCTCGAACAAAACTCTTAAATCCCTCACAAATTCTTCATTTCTAAGTGCTCAAACAATGCTCAAATCTCAGCTCTTACTCTCTCCTAACTCTAGAAAACGTCATGTTCCTATTTATATCAAATAGGAATTCAAAACATGTCAGGAAACGAACAGGGCCCAAAATAGCTACGCGGTCGACCAGGCATGAGCATCCGGTCGACCGGACAGAAGCCCAAACTCTCACCATGTAACTTAGCATACATTCGGTCGACCGAACGTACATGATCGGTCGACCGGCCAGACGCAGGAATCTAAACACTGTAATCGTGCACCTTTTCGGTCGACCAGACATGTATGTTCGGTTGACCGGCCAGCGACAGGGTTTCTCACCCTGTAATTTTACAGTCAGCCGATCAACGGCTTATGCACTTCTGTCGACCGACCCGTGACTAGTCCTGTGCACTCTAAATTTCCTGATCTTTTTCGCCATTTCTACAAATCTCCACCTCGGCGAAGTTTTTCCCAAAAACTGAGCTAACCTCAATACCAATCATCCCACTTGTTGCGTCCAGTATGAAGTGTAATCAACAACAACAGACTCAATCCACAACAAGTCGGGAACCCAAATGAGAATTCTAACAATGATATCAATCTCCATAGTATCGGTATCAACTCATCAAACTGGCTGCATCAAACTGACTGCTTACGTATCCTATTGCCCAAGGAATCATGCCTCACGTAGTTCACCAAAATGGCATCCAAAGGCCCTCAATAACGAAGAATGTTCAACAACTCCAAATAATGACCAAATTTTACCCTAGTGACAACTTTGGTCAACATATCCGTCGGATTGTTCTTTGTGTGGATCTTCTCTAATATAATGTCTTCATCATCCAAGACATCTCGTACAAAATGGAACCTGACATCAATGTACTTTATTCGGACATGATACACCTAGTTCTTTGCCAAACAGAAAGCTGATATACTATCACATTTTACCCTAATGGTATCTTGTATAATTCCCAAGTCATCCAATAACCCCTGCAACCACAAAGCTTCCTTAACAGCTTCAGTCAACGCCATATACTATGCCTCCGTAGTGGAAAGAGCCACTGTAGAGTAAAGTATACATCTACAATACACCGGTGCTCCTGTTAGTATAAACACATATCTAGTAGTAGACCGGAGCTTGTCAAGATCCCCAGCATAATCCGAATCCACATATCCAACACAATCCTGCCCATTTTTTTATTCTTCTCAAATACCAAACCAACATCCGCGGTACCTTTGATATACCGTAAGATCCACTTCACGGCCTCCCAATGATCCTTCCTGGGGTCATGCATGTACCTAGATATCATGCTCACGGCCTGAGACAAATCTAGCATTGTACATACTATAGCATACATCAAGCTACCCACAACACTGTCATATGAAACTTTAGACATATATTCATGGTCCTCAACTGAAATAGGTGATATCTTAGCTGATAGCTTAAAGTGAAGAGCTAATGGAGTACTCACCATCTTAGCATTGCCATCAAAACTAAATTTCTCTAGCATCTTTTGTAACTCCTTTGAGTCAACTTCAACCTTCTCTTCACCCTGTCCCTCTTAATTTTCATACCCAATATCTTCTTTGCTTCTCCAATGTCCTTCATCCCAAATTCGGATGACAACTTCTTTTTCAACTTCCTAATAGCTGAAGTATTCTTGGAAGCAATGAGCATATCGTCAACATATAATAATAAATAAATATACTCACCATTCTGTAGCTTGTGCATGTACACACACGAGTCATATGGTCTCCTCGTATACTGTTGACCAATCATGAAACTGTCAAATCTCTTGTACCGTTATCACGGTGATTGCTTAATTCCATAAAGAGATTTTTTTAGTTTACATACTAAATCTTCCTTGCCTGCAGCTGTAAAACCCATCAGTTGTGACATTATATAGATCTCCTCTTCTAAATCTCCATATAGAAAAGGCTGTTTTCACATTCATTTAGACCAAATCTAAATCTAGTTGTGCCACTAATGCTAATAATATTCTTACCGATGAATGAGAATACCTCGTTGTAATCAATGCCCTCAAGTTAGGCAAACCATTTAGTAACCAATCTGGCTTTGTATCAAATGTCCCCGTCAGAAGATCCTTCTTTCTTTGCATATACCCACTTGCATCCAATTGTTTTCTTACCCTTTGGTAATTTTGTAAGTTCTCAAGTATCATTCTTTTAAAGAGAATGTGTCTCTTCCTCCATAGCTTTCCTCCACCTGATTGAATCAGAGCTTGACTCTACTTTCTTATATGTACAAAGGAACCAAATCATCAATGACCTCAACTGACAAAGAATATGCAATCATCACATCATTATATCTAGCTGGCCGACGAATGATTCTTCTCGGTCTATTAGCTGTAATGGAATCCTGAACATGACCATGTTCCTGAGTTCCAATATCCACTGTATCCTCTGCCTGCTCATCTGTCATATCTCCTCCTAATATCACTTCTGTAGGAACCTCAATAGATAAAATGCTATCTAAAATCCAAGAAGTCACATCATCCTCTACCTCCTGTAATACCCCACTAGTCTAGTCTTCCTCCACCTGCTGAGGGACCTGAGGCCTCATCACGTGAGCCTCATCAAAAGTGATATATTTGCTAATGATTATCTTCTTATCTTCTGGATCCCACAACTTGAAGCCTTTAACTCCATCTCTAAAACCCACAAAGACTTCTTTTCTTACCCTCGGATTCAATTTTTCATCATTCGCATGATAGTAAATTACAGTGGTAGTTTACACCCATGTTAGATTACCCAAGAGTAGGGTACTTTCTTTGGTATGTGGCATATATGATATGGACTATGGTGTTTTGAGTTGTGAGATATTCTTCTATTATTGCGTCAACTACTTGATGGTAGTTCGAGATGTGAAATCGGTTCTATAGAGTTGAGGTTTGAAGTATTTTCTTTTGAGTGATGTTTTCATTCATAGAGTTGGAATTGGTATTTAGGGACTCACAATTTGAGACATATGGTATATACATGAGGGTTTTTTTATTTGGATTATTTCGCTCGACGTACCAGTCTCGTATTGTGGGTTTCTAATTATTGATTTTCTTTAGATTATTTATCTCTAGTTTAATGTTAATATTTAGATATCTACAATTTGAGACATATGGTATATACATGAGGGTTTTCTTATTTGGATTATTTCGCTCGACGTACTTTTTGCTCTCATGTTAAATTACCCATGAGTAGGGTACATCCTTTGATATATGGCATACATGATATGACCTATGGTGATTATGAGTTGGATGATATTCTCTTATTATTGCACCGACTACTCGAGGGTAGTTCGAGATGTGACATTTGTTCTATATAGTTGAGGTTTGGAGTATTTTCTTTTGATTGTTGTTTTCATTCATAAAGTTGGAATTGATATTCAGAGATTCACAATTTGAGACATATGGTATATACATGAGGGTTTTCTTATTTGGATTATTTCGCTCGACGTACTACGTCTCATTTTGTAGGTGTCTAAATATTGATTCTATTAGATACGGGAAAAATGATCTAGGTAGACTATGCTTAATAGGTAGAGCCTCCACTTCATCTAGCAGTCCTTCCCCTGGGGACGGATGGAGGTGATCTTGCTGTAGCGTTCTAACGCTCTTATTGTTGTTCTTTTTATTTAAATTGTCTCTTACAGGCAGCTAAGAGTTTCGGAGAGCCACATGATAACGGAGTTCTAGCATAGTCGTCGTCGTACAGTCTTAATAGCTGAAGCTACACCATATAGTTACGCTCATTGATTAGACTTTAGAGTTGTATTCATTTTATAAAAGCAGAGTGCCTTAGTATGAGATTTAGTTGATTCATGTTGAGACATTTTATTATTTCAGATATCAGATGTACTTCAGTTGAGACATAATTCTTTTATTTATGAGATCTCTCCTTTTATATCATGTCTATTGTTTTTACTTCCTCATTTTTTCTGTTTTGTACCTTCACTTCTTATTAATTCTACTAGAGGATATTATTGTGATTGATGAAACATGTTAATGCACTGTGTGGGTGCATGGTAGGTTTAACAATCCGGGTTTTACCTTGGACTGTAGCCTTGTGTGAACCCTGGGACATCATAGTTGGTATCAAAGCTCTAGTTCCAGCATCCTTAGGATCATCCTGTATCAAGTGGGGGAGCTAGGATAGAGTTTCCTAGGATTCATGTATAGAGTCCGCTAGAAAATTACAAAAAAAAATTCTTTATGAGTGAGTGAGGACGTAATACGTATACTTTGAAAATTACAAAAAAAAATCTTTATGACTACCTTACTTTGATTGAAAAGTATTTGTGTGAATACTATGTGATACGTTATGTTATGTACATATGTGTGCGACCTCATTTACTGTGTCC